TAAAATATTCGCCTTGAGACTTATAAAAAAAAAAAAAAAGTAATCAGGCGGTGAATCTCTGTGGGGGCGCATGGATGAATGGATGGAGTTTGACAGTTGTTGAATTTTGAATAGTCTTTCCCAGATCGATTTGAGTCCTCCTTATCGGGTGCTGTTTTTTAATCGATTTTGAATTTTACTCGAAATTGAATTTCCTCGCTGATTTTCCTTTTCCTCAGCTTACGGCGAGCGTAGGTATATAGTTTTGAGTTTATTCTTTGGTTCGTCTCGAATGCGGCGGCTGTCTGTTTGACTGTGGCCTTTGCCTTCAGTTGAAGTGGGAAACAAATCATAGACACATGTTTGGGAGTGGACGACCCGTCTATCATCTATGAGCAATTGTCAAAACAACTTTTAAAAATTTCACAATCTGTTTGTGGTACGTTTAACTTTTCATCTTTTCTTCTGCCCAAAGTATAATAAAAGGCATATTATTGTCGTCGGAGTCGTGAGATAGATCCGAAAAGTTTATATCCCGAAGGATATTGGCGGAAAAAGCGCGGAGTCGCTAACCGAACTGAGTTTCGTAGGTATATTGGAGTAACTCTTTTTCCTACATAATTTGCAAGTTTGGGCTGTGAAAAATAACCTTTCTGTTGATATTCTGTATCGTAGGTGGACGAACACGAACCTTCGCAAGGCGATTGCAATAATAAGGCGGTAACTTGTGATAGGAAACAAAATACTTACGGATAGTTTCATATTTCGAACGGTAAGCTATCATCTGACCTCATATTTATTCTCCTAGCACTAATTGAACTGCATTATGCACAATATAGTGATTCTTGTCATCAAATATACCTAATCATTCTTGTCAAGTTAGTGAACATGGAATTGATTTCCTTCAACCCGGTGGGACGGGCCCCAGTCCTGTAGTGATTCAAATTTTAAAGTGTAAACATTGACCGTGAATATCCCTCACTCCCTCACCCACCACAGATGTGGTAATCTATGTATTTTCCCCATATCTGATCATTTTTTTTCAATGTGAACTTCAGGCTTGTACGTTCCCCTCAAGAAATACTGGAGGACTAACAAGGAGACTTTTGTTCTGTGCACGGACCAGAAGGGACGCGGGAGTTTATTTGCCAGCCGCTCTCTGGTTTTATGTAACCCGGCCGTAACAGCAGACAGATTATACACAGCTTAACCTATCATAATCAAGGTATTTCTCTACTAACCCCGGGTGAACGTGGAAAGGAACCACCAGGCGAGGTTGGACCCCGACTTACCCATTTCCATATATTTACATATATCTATATAACTGGTTATCTCACTGAGAACTAGAATTAACTAAGTTTGTCACCAATATCGATCAAACGAGCCGTAGAACCTCTGAAATCCACTAAATAGCTTATTCAGTCTAGTCTATGTGGTATTTGTGGATAAAATATATTAGTAAGTATTATATTGTAAGTACATGGTAAAGTGTTATGAATGTCTGATATTCATATAATTATAACCTTTCATGACAACTTGTTGGTTTATATACACATTAACTTTGAACTACTGTATTCAGCTTAGATATTTATAATTAGTGAAACATAGTTATTATATAAACAATAAACATAGTTAGACTTGTTGATTTATATAAGCAATAACTTAAAACTACTGAATTCCTATGCTTTGGTATCTAAAGTGGATAAAATATACTTATAACATTATCTTAATTTTTTGGTTTTCTTTTATTGTTCCCCCGGTGCTCTGAGTGAGCTAGAAGAGGGCTGTGGAGGAGAATTTAACATTTCATGCTTAATGGGAAGCATTTAAAAAAAAATGTTTTTGCATATTGGTGAGGTTTCTTGCTCACGCAAAAAAGTGCCTGGATGAATGGAAATGTACCTGCCCCCATTTATTCCAAAACTATAAATGCAAGCATATCATGGGACTTGCGATCCGGCGCATGTATGTGACAGCACCTGCAGAGGCCAAAAATATACCAATCGGACAAAAAAAGAAGCGTGAATATCCCGCTAGAGCAAGACCTGCTATAAGTACCAAAAATTAGACGTTACTTTTTGTGTCAGATGATACAGTTGAATTTTGATCTCATTATGTCGTAATAATTAAATATGGCAGTTTTATTTAAAAAATATGCTTAAATATAAAAGATTTGTTGTGAGGTGGTTAGGTTATTATTAGATATGCATTATTAAAAAAGCTTTAATTTTAAATTATTTTGCTGTGCAATAAGTATTTTTGCTTAAAACTAATTCCCAATATTTTTTTATACAAAACGACAATTTTTGATTTGCAGTTAAATACTAGCCATTTTATATAACGCAAATGGTCAGATTGGCCACGTACTTTGGCGAAGGGATTTGCCCGCATATACCATCTCCATTGGTATATGCTCTTAGATGAATTTACATGTTTCTTAGATATTGGGCCCAATTCTGGCGTGCCAACTTATATCTAAAACTAACTAAAATTAGATATAGAGTTGTCAAATTCAATTCCGTATTCTGTAATGACACACTATCTCTAACTTTAAAATTGACGTCGCTAAGTTATTCAACTTAGATTTAGATGATCAAATAGTATTCTGAAACGCGTTCTAAATGTCATATTTTCTCTAAAATTAGAAATGTCACACTAAATTTAAGAAGGACCTACGGAGGTCCTCTCTAAATTTAAATGTGAATAATTGAGGCCAAATATCACGTAAATGATTGCTGTTTTGAACTTGATGTTAAGGTTGGGCATGGGTTTATTTCGTTAAAAAAGACAAAAAATTTATACAATAATGAACAACGACGGAGATACTAATATATTAGCTAGATCTTTTATTTTTTTTAAAATGATAGTTGTCTATGTTTCGATGCGGATTTATTAAAAGCATATTAATGTGTCATGCCCTAATGCGGCTTAGTGAGGGCTAACGACTGCAGATGCAGCGAGCAGCAACATAGGAACTCGATATTAGAAATACATATTGGGTTGATCACCCATCCTAAGCTCGGCCATTGTGAATATTGCTTAACATTCACGATCGCAGAACGAAAGCGTTACACTTGCGCTATTGTGGTCTTTCGTAGGTAATGTACACGTATATCTTGTATAAAATACTAAATAATTTAAGGTAAAATCTTTTATAACATAAATAAAAATCCACTTCATATAAAAACAAGCTAAAAAGTTAAGAAATCTATGTACTAATTCTATGGGTGGTTTTGTTTCTATGAAGCAATATTTAATATTTGTTGAATATGAAATGTTTTTACTTCCAACTTTTTATAAGCTAATCATATTTCTTAAAATAACCAAACACGAAATAAGTACCTACTGTTTGTAATTAAAAGTTTGTTTTTATAGATCCGAAACTTGGCCTCTTCACCAAATGAATAATTGGGATTTGGAACGATCTCGCCAAAAACTGATAGAAACAAAAAAGATAAAAATAGTTTACGCATCTCGGATTATACAATAAATGAGAATAAAATCTTCACAAAACAGCCGAGGGGATAATTACAACCTCTTACCGAAACCGAAATTTATAAACGTAGGTAGGTACCTACGAGTAGGTAATAGATAGATGCGCTGGATTGGGAATTTACGATGCAAGAAATTTTCAAGGATGATTCACATTAGACCGTGTAGGCGGTAGCAGAGTTAACTAATCATCATCATCATCATCAGCCTATTAATATCCCCATTGCTGGGGCACAGGCCTTCCCTATAGATGAAATAGGGAGATTGGGTCATGGCCCACCACGCAGGCCCAGTGCGGATTGACGGGTGCTAACGACTGCAGATGCAGCCGGGACCAACGGCTTAACGTGCCTTCCGAAGCACTAAGGAACTCGAGATTTTTGGTCACCCATCCAATGACCGACCACTGCGAAAGTTGCTTAACTTCAACGATCGCAGCCGAACGAGCTAATCGTCTGCGCCATCGAACTCCTCTAGTTAACTTATATTAAATAATTTATTTTACATGGATAATGGACACATTCATGCTATGGCGGTAACTGACTGACTACCAGGCGGTAACTGACTGACAACCGAGCAAAAAATGAAATAACGCTCGGAAAAAAATTGGTCCCGCCTCGGCTCTGCCACGGCCCGCTGCATGAATACAGCGCCGCGCCGGCGCGGTGCCGCCGGTCAAGCGTAGTGATACCTCAGACAAAACAATAAACGTTTTTGCTCGGACGAGACAGTTTGTAAATTACAGATCGGCTCAGGACTCGACACGGTCCATTGTCACTGATCATCCTTAATAGATTTGTTAGGTACCAAAATCTAGTTGGTACCTATATTTTAATTTTATTTTAAGTGGTAGATTTCCCCATCCTTTTGCCAAAACAAATACTTGGCATTTTCTAAGAAAAAATATGATTATTGAAGTTCTGCCCGCAGATTTAATTACTCCTAGTTCTTATTTTTCCCCAAAATTATGGTTAAACACTCCAAATCTAGAATCCCTAAGTACCACAGAGTAGGCAAGTATTCACTCTATAATATGGATTCATAATTTGTCATGCAGTAAAATAACAAACTTATTTTAAGTTTCAATATTTCAAAAATTATGAAGAACAACAATGAACTACTGAAATAAGTCAAAATCACTGAATAATAAGTAATTATTGCTAATTTGAGTAAACCGATAATTACCGGTTCAATGCTTTTACCTAATCTGTGAATTCAATTTACATGCTCGTTTACAGCTGTCAACTGTGTTCTTATTTAAGTTAGTTCGCAATTTCAGAATACCAATTCTCTAAACCTAAACTAAAATTACCTCTCTAATTTTAGGTTTAGATTTAGAGAATGTAACGCCAGAATCGGTCCCACTATATCTCATTATTGCGTTGTCTTTAAAGCAATAATTTTGTAAAAACTCTATATAAAATTTAGTCACGAACGCTGCGCGGAAAACGCTTTTAAAAGAATTACCCATTTAGATCCTATTGAATTTACCTCAAATTTACTTCTACACCGTAAAAGAAGAAACTTACTCCAACCATAGGTTCGACACCAACTTTTGTTGATCCTAAGGCGGTGACCTGTACAGGTGATTGCACCCTCTGTAGCAAGAAGCACACAGATCGTTGATTTCTGACATCCATACACTCCCATGGTAACCCATAAACTGCATCTATGAGTTTCTGGCTCTGTAATCATTACCGACGAAATAAATAAAAATAATAATCTTTATCAAATTAAATAATATGATTTAAAATTAAATAACATTATTCAGTCTGACAATAACAAAATCAATATCCATTCAAATAATAAATCAAGTTACTTCAACACACCTGGACGTTAAGAACTTCAAACAGTACAGAAATTTGGAAAAGCTGATAAAAAATTATAACTGTTAATGGTCCGAATTGTGCTAATGCATCAGGATCCTGCAATGTGGGTAATTAATTAAATATAACTTCCAGGCTAGTTACAAAAATATTATATTTTATAATATCATATAGCTATAGTCCTTTTTGTTTTAGTGTGTTTGTAAACGCTCTAATCTCAGGAATTACTGGTTTCAATTAATAAAATATTTTTCTGTTGGATTGGATAGTTAATTGCTTCAGGAAGTATGGAGACTAAATTTAACATCACGCTACTTACTACCAAAAGGAGCAGAGAATCAATGAAAAATGTTGCAACAACGGAAAAATATGTTTCTATTTAGAGCTTTTGTTGCGGGAAACCCTGCCAAGTGCGAGTCGCTCGCGCACTAAAATTTCCGTAGCATTATCTACTACAACATTTGATATAAGGTAATTATTATAATATCGAGCAAAAAATGGCAAAAAATCGCGTCTGCTGTGTGGAGACTATTTATGTTATTTTAATTAAATAGGCTAGTTGACCCTTTTTGGAAAAAGGTTTTAAATTGTTAATAAATGTTCTATTAGACCGAAAAAAAATGTATTGTATTTTTTTGAGACCTAGAAAGCTACAAATTTTTAACTTTAAAATAGATTTTTCATGGACATACAAAAACGCTGTCGGCCATTTTATGCTACAGATTATCTATGCCATGACGTCAACTGTAGTAAACAAAAGAAGATAATTTATCTGAGTTTATAATAAAAAAAAAAAGGGTGCGTGTACTTATGTAGGCGCGTGAGAAGTCCTTCTTTCGCATCGTTTAAAATTAGTTTTTAATTGCATGCAAATAATTAATTACAATAAATTAATAAAAAGTCTGGAAAAGGACACAGTCAATAAAGTTCAGTTTTAATTTGAAAAAATAAATAAATAATCAAAATATTCAATTAAAATCGCTACTGAATATAATTTATTAGAACTTATGTGATTTGCACTTGTATGAAACTCAAACACGTATTCCGAATATACAAACTAGAAACATGTGGATAAATATTATAAATATGAATACCTATAACTGTTACTTTATTACAAAAAATAAAGATGTGGTTTTTGGTTCTACTACACCAATGGTCAAGAGATGGCGCTGTAGTCTCCTGAATCGCGCTTTGGTTCCGTTGTTCCAGATTAATAAATACTTTTGATAGGCCTTCACAATGCAGTCGTTAACACCCACTAAATAGAGATTCTATTTCTATTTTGTTGGTAGATTTTCTTAATGTGCGGTAAACACAAAAGTTAAAATTTTGTGTTACAGTGATGCGCGCTCATCTTAAAATTTCACTCTCATCATTTTTTCATAACGCGCCTAAAGAAGTATAACTTCAAAAAACATGATTTCTAATAAATACCACGAAAAATAAAGTAATTATCATTATTGTATTGTTTTCTTTAAAGTCAAATGACAGTGACAGATGACACTGACATTTATTTGTTGACGGATGAGATTACAAACATAACCCTACTGTGTTGCCAGGTCTCCAGATTTTACAGGAAATCTCCTGTTTTTCTGCAATTTCTCCTGTTCTACTGTTTTTCTACATGAATCTCTTGTTTTTCTTAGAATACGATTTCCTTTTTTTAATTGCACGTTGAGCTGCATTTTCGGCCATTAACAATGTAGGTAACCTTATAAATTTTAAAATAAATGTTATTGTCTAAAATAATAGCTTTAAGAGGCGGTATAAGCCACAGAAACACATTCGTTACTGGAATCATCTGCATCTACTGTTTTTCTTGTAGGTTTTTCCCTACATCCACTGTTTTTTTTCTATAAAGGCTCTCGATTTTTTAAAATCGGACCTAGCAACATTGACCCTACTTTGCTTCACCTTATAAACAATTTAACAATTTTGAAATACATTGAAAACATTATTTACTTCTTAATTTATTACAGATTATGGGCATTTAACTTTACATAAAATACTTAATTGTTGTGGTGTATGTAGTTAATAAATAAAACTAGTTTTTACGGGTTAATGCACGAAACTTTATTTATTTATTGACGTTTCGTAGCCTTTACAGGCTACGTCGTCAGAATTAAACTTTTATTTAATTTGCATTAGGGGGACCAAACCATTACATTAGATTTGATAAACCACAGATCCTTGCAGCTGAGCGGCGGTTCGTTCCTCGACTGATGCGCGAGGCTATTGAGATTAAAAAATATCCAAATTTCAATAGGGAAGATCGTTGGTATATACCACCAGCTTGGGAACCCATTATACAGGAGATAAAATCCCAACCCCGAGCACACACTGCAAGACCAACAGATACTATTAGTTCTTTTTATTTGCATAATTTAACATAAGAAGGAGATAGAAAGCCTCTCTTGAGTTTGTTTCGCCGGTTCTTCTCAGAAAGGTCTCCCAATTTTGGAACCAGTGGTAGTTTACGGTAGTTAGGGTCAAATAAATAAACTAAAAATTACAAAAAAGAATTTTAAATAAAATACTTTATTAAGTAAATTAAATTAAATAATAAATTCATACATAGACAATAAAACTTTAAAAACCGAACAATAAAATAACCGAACGCTCAATAAAAGTCTTTCGAAGGTAGCTCGACAAATTAAATGAAAGTTTAATTCTGACGACGTAGCCTGTAAAGGCTACGAAACGTCAATAAATAAATAAAGTTTCGTGCATTAACCCGTAAAAACTAGTTTTATTTAATGAGTGATGTGCGTGAAAACCTAAGAAACAAATATACTTAGTTAATATTTAAATGAATTACATGTCAATACTATATTATCAATTATACATATTTTATTATAGATTTAATCTCTGTTTTTTCTTTAATAATCGTCCCTTTGAACTATATTTTCTTTCAGCATTTACAGCGTCGTTATTGTCATTAACAGGTAAGGGTGATATTTCATTACTACTACAACTTGGACTAGGTAAATCGCTTGGACTTTCAAGTAATTTTTCTATATTTTTACATTGAGAAGACATAGGACTTTCATTTTGATATCCGTTATAGTCATGTAGACTCTCCCGTGGTGGTGAATATTGGAGATTTTACTATATTTTCTGACTGACTTTCTGACATGATTTCTGACTGACATTCAGATTGGTTCAAATGACTTGACTCTACTGATAAGAAAGAATCTGAGGTGATGCTCAGTATTGGACTTTGTGATCTTGACTTAGGACTTGACTCATGAGTGAAGATGAAAGTACAACTATCATCCTCCTCTTCAATAATTTTTGACTTTTGACTTATTAATTTCTTAACTTATTAGACTTGGACATTTTACTTCTTCAAATTTTACTTTTTTGCTGTTATATTCTGAGACATTATTATGACTAGACTTTTGACAATTTGACTTGTAATCAAAGCGAATATGCTGACTATTCCTACGATAAGTTATATTGTTACCTTATTTGACAATGTAAGATCTTTTTTTTTTTTATTTATTTGTATTAAAAAAAAAAAAGTTACAAATTTTATGCTAAGTCTGCCAAACTGCAACACAGTTTGTCGGCAGCAGTTCCCTTACAACTTAAAAAATAAAATAACCTATATATATATTTATTTTCTAACACTAAGCTAGTAGTTGATTATACTGTAATATGCAATTATACAACACATACATTGCGTTCTATATTGCGACTGTGACTGCATTGCACTGCACACATTATATATGTTATTATATAAAAGATACATACCACAATAAACTATAACATAATACAAGCTATTGTAAACGGAAACGAGGTGGGTATCCAGCCCACCTCACCTCCGCTCACAACATCACAAGGATCATGGACAGAGGGACAGATAGTGTTTTTTTAGTCTACACTTTAAACTATTTTTAGACAAAACATCTTTTAATAAATTCTGCGGCAATTCGTTAATTAGAGTGGGAACCATATAGCGCAACTCACGTTTTCCATAATAATTCTTTATTTTAGGAACAACCATGGTAACCATTCGCGATAAGCGAGTTGGGTACGTACGTAATCTTTGTTCAATATATTCAGCTTTACCATATTGCTCACCTAAAATTGCTAACTTAACTTTGTACTCGATAGGCAAGATTTTACAAATACTAAATAATTTTTCATATTGTTTTTGCAACTCATTCTTTGTTTTGGTGTTAACTAGAAGCTTTAATAATCGGGTTTGTAACTGTTTTATTTTATTTAAATATGTAGGAAATGTAAGTCCGTACGCACCCAACCCATACACTATAATAGCATCTGCCAATGAAAAATATAGCATAAACAGAATATTTTTACTAACTATATACTTAAGGTTAAATAACTTACCTACTATCGTACGTAATTTATTACAGACTGCTTCTATATGCAAGTTCCACGAAAAATGATTGTCAATAATTAGTCCCAAATACTTGTATGAATCGACTACATCTAAAGATTTACATGAACAGCTTTTTCCACTGTTATGTAAGCACTCAAAAGTATGTCCTTTAATGGTCATATTAACCACCTTTCTATTATATGGCGACGTTATTATCATGCACTTTGTTTTTTCCATATTTATAATAATACCGTTATCGTGAGCCCATTTTACGATGTCGTTAAAATCACTTTGTATCCGGCTTTGTATAATGTATTGATCCCTACCACTATATATAATGCAGGTATCATCAGCATACATATATGCTTGACAGTACTTAATTACGTTAACCATGCTGTTGACATGCATTACATATCCAACCGGCCCGTATACCGAGCCAGTTGGCACACCGTATTTGATGTTACCTATTTCGCTCTCTGCACCACAGACGGATACTTTTAGGGATCTGTTTTCTAAGTATTTTCTGAGCCAGTTATTCATCGGGCCTCGAATCCCACACTCCTCCATGGCTTGTAACAGTCCTGTATGATCTAGCGTGTCAAAAGCTTTCTTGAAGTCGATAAAAACTGCCATCACAATGTTTTGTTCATTAAGATAGCCATTAACATAATTTGTGAAGCTTGACAGGGCTGTGGCTGTGCTTCTTTTAACACGGAACCCATGCTGAGCATCAGTTAGTAGCTGATTATCC